GTATAAATCTCAATTTCGAAAAACTGACCCTTATGACTGGTTTTGTGCTCCAGGGTCACATATAGTATAATTAGTTATATTTTTTATAACAAATATAATTTGCTATAAAATACAATTTATTATAATTTGTTACAAAATATAATTTGTTTTATTGTTACATTTTTAACAACACTTGGATAAATGGTTATATGTAACTTGATATCTCATCATAATAAAAAAATGAGTCCATTTGATAACCCAAACTAATGTCTCACCTTTGGGCTCTTCTCTGGATTGGTTTGTCTTTTCCCTGCAGGTGAAACATCATTTGTAACATTGTACGCTCCCGGTCCCGGCACATCTGACACCACGTCATCAAAGCGCTTGCAGCGATTCTGAAGACTCTTTCCTCCCAAAATGTGATTCTGCAAGATTCCAGTTATAAGTTTGCATTCATCACTGATATTAATTGCTTGCGAGGTGATGTTATAAAAAAAAATGTAATGTACCCTGGTGATGTCACTGTTGTACTGTCCTGGTCCAGGAGAGAGTGGACCACTGCCTGACCCCAGGAACCCAGACTCTCTACTGGACAGCGAGAGGAAGGGGGCATACGAATCTGGAGAAACAGATAGAAATGATAAATAAATACATACATGATACATACATACATAATTCATATTATTCTTAGCAACAATAATAATAAATTAATAAAAAATCCTATATATAGTATATAGTATACTATACAAATGCAGTAGCCTTGTAGATGATCACAGGTGCCCAAACAAATAATAACCAAAAAAGTTTGCATGCACAATCTAATGCCATATGAGAAACTTTTTGAATTCTTTATTCTCCAGTTTTTAGAAAATGCATCTATATACTAGTCCTTTAAATAAAACACTGTATGATCTTAAAAACCTATAGCTTAATGAACAGTGTTGGGGAAAGTTACTTTTAAAAGTAATGGATTAGCGTCATATTCTGAGTTGCATTATTTTTATTCATTTTGAGGAATACTGAATCTGTATGTTGTTTTTTTTGTGAGTGAGTGAGATGAATTAATGCATATTCATATTTATTTTAGAACTACAGTAACATCTCATTTCTCTCAACATGGCGACACCAGAGCTGTCAATAAATTTGAAAAAAATAAGTAACTTGCGTTACTTATTTGAAAAAGTAACTCAGATATTCTCTTGTAAATGAAAAAGTAATGCGTTACTTTACTAGTTACTTGAAAAAGTACTCTGGTTACGTAACTCGCGTTACTTGTAATGCGTTACCCCCAACACTGCTAATGAAACATCAAGAACTCTTCATAGAAAAGAAAAATGGATCTTGGGAAGAAGAAGAAGGCTGCAGAGAAGCACTGAAGAACCTCTGAATACTTCTTAAGAGTAATTTCTGAGCTTCTTGTCAGGTTTAGGTTTTAAAAATGACCATTTCCTGTCAAAAATGAAACTCACCCCTTTTACCGCTCAGAGACCTGCTGATATTATACGATCCTGGTCCAATTTCAGACGTCGTGCCGCTTAATGTCAAATATGTGAACCTGGGAGCTCGATCATACATGCTGATTCATTATTTATATTTTACAACGATGAAACGTGTGTAATTAACTAATGTAACAGTGTGAGAGCAGTGAAGTGTCACTGGAGTGCGTCGCCGCGTTGCCTGGACGTCGGTGTTTATGAATATTAATTAGATGAGCCGCCAGCTACTTAACCTGCTTAATATTAATGAGCTAATTCGTTGCCTGGACACTGAAACGCAGTCACGGGTGGAAAAACACTCAACTATGTAGAGAAAAGTGTTCATTCTCTGCGTCTAACTTCATTCAAACCTCAATAAATAAACAAACAAGCGAACATTTATTCATTTTTTTAACAAGGTTAAACACTAAAATAATAATAATAATGATTAAGTAACGATAAAACGACTTATTTATACACTTTAGATTTTATAAATTTAGGCCTTTATTACTTGCTGAAGTGTATAAAAATTATTAATATAAGTTTATAAATATATTTTATAAATATATATTTATATTTATAAAAAATATATAACATTTATAAATATATAAACTTTATAACTATTATAAGTTATATATATATATTTTTTTTTAAGTACAAACAAATGAGGAAAAACACAAGCAATGTAGGCCTATAGCCTAAATAAAGAAACGAAGAGCCTAATACAGTATTAGCAGCGTCACAGAAAAAGCCTAAAGCAGAAGTTAAATCACAAAACAAATGAGAAACTTGAGGAAATCATATCATTTTATCTTTTAAAAAGTTCCATTCATTTATAGTTCCTCTCTAAAGTATTTTTACAACCAAAATAAATTGAAATGTAAAGTTTTGGCTGCTAAAGAAAAACACGAAATTGGTAAATAAAGAAACCAATGTTATCAGCGTCACGATATTGAATTTCAACAGAAATTTCCTAACAGAAAAAATGCCCAAAGCAGAAGTGAAAGAACAAAACAAGAGAAACTAGAGTAAATTGTATTTATTATATCATTTTTATTATTTTATCATTTAAAAAGAGTCATTGATTTATTATTATAGTTCCTCTAAAATGTTTTATGGCCCAAATAAACAGACATGTAATGTTTTGGCTGCTAAAACGAGATGGTCCTCACTGCAGAACACAAGATCCAGGGGGCGTGGTTGGATCTAGATCCAACGCTTCCCACCTTACATATACTTAAACCTACCCGTCTCCACCCCCTGATCCCTAAACCCACCCATCTCCACCCCTAAACCTACCCGTCTCCACCCCCTGAGCCCTAAACCTATCAATCTCCACCCCCTAGATGTGGATCTAACCACGCCCCCTGGATCCTGTGTTCTGCAGTGAAGGGCTACTGTGGCTAAAACGAAAACTGCACTGTTCATCCGCGCCGGTGCGTGGCGCTGCGGCGGTAGATCGCTGTTCACGAACCTGAGCGAGGATCCCCGAAGAACTGTAAACAAAGAGATTCAGCAGAACAGGGTCACGGAACCACGGTTGCCGCTGCTAAAAACATCAGCTGTAAGTTGAAATACACTGAACACACTTTACGAATCACTTAATCTATTTCTGTACACTTTAATACAGTAACGAGACCGCGGAGAACTCATTGTCGTGGCACTTTTGTTTGTTTATGTGTGTCCCGCAGTGAAAGTAGGACACGTTGTTGGTCGAGCATGCCCAGTAACACGGCTCAACTCCTGGAGTCAGACGATACTGAACCGGACCTCCCGGTACCGGTACAGAACCTGAGCGGGATGAGCCTCCGCGATGAAGAGAGTCCATCAGAACTATATTATACTTCTCATCTGGGTGTCCTGGGTGCGGTTTTAGACCTCCAGCCCTTGTCCCAAACTGGATCAGAGGAGGAAAACACCACCAACACTAACAATAACAACATCATCAGACATGATGCTGATCTGGACCAGCTGAGGGCCCGGGCCCTCACAGCCATGGAGGCCCCGGGGACCGGTGTGCTCTTCCTGGACGGGCCGGGCGAGTCCCAGGGCTATCAGGTTCAGGGGAGCATGATGATGGCGATGATGATGATGCAGGAGGGTGAGAGGTGTGCGCTCAATACCAGGAGGAAGAGCGTTAACACAACAGAGTGCGTGATGGTGCCCACATCTGAGCATGTGGCGGAAATAGTTGGTCGGCAGGGTGGGTTTGTTTGATTGTTAATGTGTCATGTTTGATATTCTAATATTGTGATTCATCGTGTCTCATTTTTCAACAGTGTTCAACAATAAGGAGGCCAGTTGGATTAGTGATTCATATTTGTACTCGCCCTGCTGATATTCTCACAGACCTCACCTCATGAAAAAAATAAAAAAATTATTAATATAGTATATTATATTAATAATACATATATAAGAATATAATGCAATGTAGTATAACCTTTTTATATTATTAATAAAATAATCATATTAATATAATTTTACCTAAATATTTTGTTAGAAAATATATATTTTGTATTTACATTAAAGTGCAAGTTTAGTTACCAGAAAGTTTTACAAAAAAAAAAAAGAAGTTATCCATCTTTTGTAGTAGCCTATATTTCAAAACCTGAATTAACTTTGAACTAGGGTTATTATAGTTAACTCAAACAGAAACTAAAACCTTAAAAAAGCCCATTTCAGTACTCGAGCAAAAATAAATGTTAACTGAAAAAAAGTCAAATATAAAAAAACACGTATTTCAGTTGGCAACATTTCTCATTTTATTTTAGTGTAACTAAAATAACTAACTAGATATACTAAAACTGAAATAAAAAGTCATAAATTAGACAATAAAAATAGACATTGTCTAAATAAATAAAACAAAAACTACTAAAAATGACAAAAAAAAACAATTACTAAAACTTTAACTAAAATTAAAATAGAAATAAAAACTAATTCAAAATATTTGATTTAGTTTTAAAAAAAGTTAAAAGACAAAACCTTATTTATTTTTAATATTAGTAATAAGCCTGATCATTAGTCATAATTATTTGTAATGTGTGTGGGCCAATTTCTCAATATCAGCACATTCATAATGAAACCGTGATGAAAATGGTTTTAATAATATATGCTTGCACTGACCTCATTGAACTGCATGTGTCATGCACACTTATCTGCAATGACGTGATGTTGCTTCACTGTACTGGATGAAAACAAGTTGTGTAATACTAACATGTGAACTAACACACTGACAACCCCTGTTACCATATCAAGTCTGTTAGTATTGACCAATCAGCATCCAAGGCTGCACTAATCACTCCTGAGAAGAGCTCACTTGTCTATGCCTGTGATTGATTGATTGATAGATAGATGTCTTCTTAAGCTAGCGAAGTGTTGACTTGTCTTTGTATTTCTGTTCTCCACAGGTTGCAAAATCAAAGCTCTGAGAGCAAAGACCAACACTTACATCAAAACCCCCGTGAGAGGAGAGGAGCCCGTGTTTGTAGTGACCGGCCGGAAGGAGGACGTCATCACGGCCAAGCGTGAGATTCTGTCCGCGGCCGAGCATTTTTCCCTCATCCGGGCGTCTCGGAACAAAGTGGCACCGACAAACAGCATTCCTTGCCATCCGGGACAGACCACCATCCAGGTTCGGGTGCCGTATCGAATGGTAGGGCTCGTGGTGGGGCCGAAAGGAGTGACTATCAAGAGGATCCAGCAGCAAACCCACACCTACATCGTCACGCCAAGCCGTGACAATGAACCGGTGTTTGAGGTGACCGGGATGCCCGAGAATGTAGACCGAGCCCGAGAGGAGATCGAGTCTCATATTGTGACGCGTACCGCAGGAAGCGTGGACACCACTGTGGACGATGATGATTTCCACTACAACGGCACCGACGTTGGTTTCGAGTCGGGCGGCAACGGAGCCTGGCTCTTCTCCGACGGCGTTTCAAACTTCCACAGCAACGCTGCGGGCTATCGCAACGACAGCTCCAGCTCGCTCGGAAGCAACTCTAGCGAGTCCTACTACAGCGGGAAAGGCAGCGCAGTGGCAGATCTCAGTCCCGGCAGCAGCGGAGGCACATTCTGGTTTGGTGATTCCCAGTTGCCTTTGGGATCCGAAGATCCTGTGGGATACGATGGGCTAACGATGACGGCGCCATCCGCCAATCCATCATTGTGGAGCGCTCTCGAGCAGGGAGGAGCGAGTTTGCCCACTACGCCGAGGCTCTCTCCGTCCATTCTGGCCCGTCTGTCTCCGTCTCTTCCGGAGGATCATCCGCTGGTTCGGTTAGTGCAGGAGAATTCCCAGAGCCTCCCGGCCTTTGATTCCGTGTTTTCCCCGTCTAGCGACAGCACAGGCTCCAGCTCTCCGCTGGATGTGCGCACTTACCCCAAACACAGCCAAGTTCCTGCGTGTGTACGCTGCGGAGACAACGTGGCGGCGCTTGTCCTGGGCGGGCAAAACCTCATTTGTTTGGAGTGTTCCAACTCCATCCTGCAAAACGCATAGAGAGAGGAAAAAAATTGGGATGGGGAGGAGTAAACTGGGTTAATTTTTTACATTGAAATACTTCTTCCTTATTACGTTGAAATAAGGTTTTTGATTAATAACCACCGTTGAGTTCATCTCAAAGATTTGCGTTTAGTTGTCGCGTCGTTCTTGCGGCGAGCGGTGCTGGGGTTTAGCAGTGCTAAATTGCCTTCACTTGTGTTTTTTGTTGTTTTGTTTTCAAAGTATCGACTTGTTTGTTTACATTTCCATGTGCCTGATTCCATGAAGGTGGTGGTGTGGATTGGCGATGTTGCTGCGAAAGCATCTGTGGTCTTTAGTTTCTGTTTCACAACACTAGAGTCGAGCAGTACGCGATCATAAAGAGCCGTCCTGAACGCCACCTAAGGACCACTTTGAGCATCTCCGTACGCAATACGAAATTGAAGGGCATTGCTTGTCCTCATTATAGGAATAGTTAAATAAAATTTGCTGAAAATGTACTCACCCTCAGGCCATCCAAGATGGATGAGTTTGTTTTTTCATTAGAACAGATTTGGAGAAATTTAACATTACTTCACTTGCTCCCCAATGGAGAAAGCAATATTATGGATAGCGGACCC